CACCTCGGAGAGGCTGGGCTTTGATTGGTTGCAGCGACTGTGGTAGCCGTTTGGCTGGAAGTCGTGGTGGTGTGTTTCCCTGCGGGAGGGGCCTGGCCGCGTGCCGAAATGGGTGCAGTGCTTCTCCGCCTTGCGGGGCCCTTCATCCAGGCTGACCCCCAGCTAGCACGTCGCCGCCATCCTGGTGCGAATCTGCACTGTGGGTTTAGGCATCCCCCATGTTTGTGGAGACCGTGGGAAAAGGCTCTGAGCAGCTTACGCGACGTCATGGGCGGGGCTTGTGAGAGCGGCCCAGCGTCATTGGATTCTGTGGGTCCGGGTTCAGTTTGTGGGTTCTGGTTTGGGTTGTGCGCGTGAAAACTCGTCCCCGAGTACGGTTTGGTTCATTCTCTGCTTGTGCGTGGGTGAAAGGACCCTAGTAAGATAGCTAAAAACGAAATCAATGAAGTTTCAGTTTTGAGTTACGCTTTAATAGAGCGCTCCGGGTGTGGAAACAGTGTGTGTTGGTGGGGGTTGGATTTACCTTTTAGTTTTATAGGGAGGAACCCACTAGCTGTAATAGCAAGAAGTGCTGCAGGCGCGGGGCTTATAATTATAGAAAGTATCAGATCGGTAAACCAGGAATTGGTGAGCTCTGTGCCCAGTTATTTTTAGCAGGACAAACAAGCATTAGAATGTCTGTCACCTGAGAGTGTTGTGGGCGCCAGGACAGAGTGGACAGACAGCAAGCCTTATTAGCTGGGTCTTATGGGGAAACATGGTCCTATGTAGCCTGTGGTTTTCTGAAACATCAAAGTGTGGGGATATCTGCATCGTGGTTTAATTAAGGAAACAAGTGAAGCCCAATATTGCCAGCAGGGTGAATTTAAGCCAGTTGTCTTTCATGTGTGTCTAGGCAGATACATAAGAAAAGTGTCTTTTTATTGTGAAAATCTCTTCAGATTGACAGCACTTTGTACTAGTAAATGTTATGGATTCTCAGCATAGAAACCAGACCAGAATCCAATATTAAAATTTAGCCATTTATTACCGGGCCTGGGACTGCGTGACCGTAGTCACACAGGAAAGGACAAATGACAAGGGCCTTAGAAATATAGAGGTTTTAGACCTAGAAACCATATCTTGTCTGGCAAACAAATTGGTCATCCAACAGACAGAACAGCACCTTTAGGGACAGTGTGACCATTACCCAAGATATTCTTTTTGGGAGCATTGTGTAGTTCCTGTTTAATATACATCTGCGTATGCATGGTCTTGACTATACAGCAACACTTTTTAGTTGGTTAGCAACACCTTAGTTATTTTGTACAGATAGAAACACTTGGACCTTTACTTTGATTTATTTTGTAGGTCTATTCTGGGAACTCTCAGTCTATTGATTTATCAATGATACACCAAGCCTCCTTGTGGTCTTCTGAGGAAACAGGGTCACAGAAAGTTGAACAGAGTAATTTTTTACATTTAGTTTTACCTTAACTCATCACAGTAAAAGGTAATTTTTGTGTGATCTAAAGAAAGCCAAAATGAATAATCCCAAAAGACAAGGACCTGCCTTTTATAAATGAAGTAACTGTCACTGAGTGTTTTAGTCACCAGTATAAAGCCTCACAAGGGATAAGTGGTGGATCAGATTGAAGCCTAAATGTCAGTGGCTTCATGATCTCCCTGCTGTACCACCCTATACTGTTCCTTTTGAACAGCCCATAATCCAGCTCAATTTTGTAAACTAGAAACCTCTTGAGCCTGCTGACAGTCCCCCTGCTTCCCAGTTGCATGGCAGCAGAGTTCTACACAACCTGCAGGACAGGGAACAGTGTAAAAGGTCTTAGGTCCCAAAGGCCCACCTTAGGTCATTGAAGGAGAGGGGCTACAGGCTGGAGATTAGACGATCTGAGGATGTTTATGTAGGAAACATGCTGATGTGATATACAAAGGTGATAAACACTGACAACTTAGGTACTTCTTAATCCTTTTCTCTCTCCCTACTTGCCTGCACTGATAATGATATTCTCAAAGCTGATGTTTGAAACCAAACAAACATGGGTAAGGAGAGAGATTCCCATTTTACCTGAGGAATATCTGATACCTTGCTACTGTATGTAATGTGTAAAATATTCTTGCATGCTAAGTGAGTGAAACCAGTCATTAGTGTTTCCAAATTTGTAGTGTTCTTGTGTAACAGATGAGATATCTTAGAGAGAAAGAGGTTAAGTCCGCTTTCCAAATTCTCTCAAGTCATGCATGGTTGGATCCTGAAGCTGCTAATGCTCAGCATGTCCCAAACTGATGGTGTCCACCTTGACCCTTTGTGCATTTGCCCATGCTCCAGTGCTGCCTTCCTCAGTGTAAGATGCCACCTTCTGCCTTGTTGCTTAGGCTTGAAGGCTTCCTTGATGACTGCCTCTCTGACCAGCCCAATAATCCCAAAGCCCTGGTGTCAGCAAGACTTTGAAAGGAATAATTTTATACTCCCTTATTCCCACTGCCAGATTTAGTTTCCTAGTTCAGCCATCCTCATGTCTCCCCTGGACAGTGACCATCACGTCAGCTGGTGTTCTTGCCACCAGTCCTGAGCCTTCCTGTACACTGCATCCTAATGCCAGAGGGACTTTCCCACTTGCCAGTCAGGCCCCTGTTGAAACACTGCAGGTTCTGCCCCATACCCTTAGGATAATGCCCAGCCTTCTAGACCAGGCATATCTGCCCCTGCCTAGTCCCAAATGCCTCATCTGTACCACATCCCACTCTCGTGAAGCCCAAACCAAAATTCTAGCCAATCCAATCCTCTTGTTTAGCAGGTGACTCACACTCAGCCTTCCTTGCTGTGATATGGATAGCCTTGTGATGAACTTTCCTTTCTTTGGGATATGCCTCCTCCCTCCTAGTCTCCCTGATTTTTTTCTTTTATTTATTTTAATTGACTTTTATACTTTTAAATTTTTTCCATAATTTTATTGAGAAACAAATAGCAATGAGACAGTTTCAAAAAAGTTGGTAGGACAGTTTCAATAATTAACACATTGCATACATTCTTCCTAGTGGTTAATTGCTGTGCAAGATGCGGACATGATATCCTATTTAAAAACACCATTAGAACAAATCCCTCTATTCATTAAGAGAATGTAACTATATATCTATCCTAACCACTTTGAATACACAGATACAAAATGGACATTCTTCTGTATCCCCTTTTTTTGGTTAAGTTCCGTTATTTGAATATTATAGGTGTGTTAACTCAGCAAAATATTCTAAAAGAGTCCAGTAGCGCATGATAGTATTAGGTCTTCTGCTTGACTGGCAATGTGAGAAATTGTTGACCTGAGTCCCCTACAGCTCAACATAACAGCATGGCTTTACTTCTTTTTGTTTTATGAGATTTTTAAAAATTAATTTTATTGAGGAACAAACAGCAATGAGACTTTTCAAAACAGTTTTGTAGGACACTTACAATAATTAATACATTGTCTAGTATTGCCTTTGTAGTAGGTATTCATAGTACAAGATGCAGACATGATATCCTGCCTAAACACTATTAGTACAAATCTTTCTTCTCATTGAATTAAGAGATAGTAGCTGTTATCTATCCTGTTTTGTATATACAGATACAAAATGGGATTTTTATAGTGCAAAAATAAGGGAAAACACAAGGTGTCACAGCAACCAATAAGTTTACAAGCATAATTGCTCAGATAAAATTGTTTATATAGGGATCAAATGGGGAAGCTAGTCATGTAGTAAGAGGGCATGAATATAGAACTGGGCATTTTCCTGTAGGGGGTTATGTTTGTGACTCTGGTTTTCTCAAGATTATTGATACATATTAGAATATCAATCCCTGGTGCTCATCCCTAGGGTCATATGTGGGTGTGTTTTATCTTTTGGCTTAAGGCCTGGCCCATATACGAGTGCTTGTCTCTCCCACAGTTGCAAGGCATCTGGTCCTCCGTACTGCCTCCTTGAGGAGCTGTCCTTGTGTGACTGCCTATAATGTTTTTAACTCAGCTGCCTACAACAATTTTCCTTTTTAAAAAAATTTTATTTATTTTTTTTTGTGGAACCAGGGATTGAACTCAGGCCCTTGCTCTTGCTAGGGAAGCGCTTATTGTACTGAGCCATCTCCCCTGCCCCTTCCTTTTTATTTTTGTAATATCTTCTTATCTAGAAAATAAAATTCTGATAAGGTGCTTTCTTTTTTTTGTTCAAGGTCATCAATTTATTAGGAATTATGATTGAAAATTAATCAATGGAGGGATAAGGGAGATATTCGGTGAAGGATAGATAAATAAGTTGAACTGTATAATGCTATATGGAGATTATGATTTTTTGGGGGTATCTTTTCCTGTAGACCCTGAAAGGGCTTCTTTTTTTCATAATTTTATTGAGAAACAAATAGCCATGAGACAGTATCAAATCAAATATGTAGGACAGTTTCAATAATTAACACATTGCATACATTCCTCCCAG